AAAAACCGTCGAAACCGCGACGACGCCGCGCTCTCTGCGATCGACTGGTCCGCCGGGGGACTGGATTGTAAATAAGAAGGGCCGCACGCCGACTGTAAATTTAGCGGGGAACGCGAATAACATCCGAACGGAGTGTTCGATACGCCCCAAAACGCCTAAAACTCAAATTTTCGAAAAAAACGGCAAAAAACGCGCGCGACGGCGGCGCTCCGTTGGCACTCGACGTCCGCCGCCGCGGGCCCGCCGGGCTAAAAGTAGGGCCGCGCGCCGACTATAAATTTACCGAGGAACGCGAATAAGGTCCGAACGGGACCTTCCGGGGCCCCCGAGGGGGGAAAACTCGAACAAATCTCGAAAAAATCGTGAAAAACGGTAAAAACCGCGAAAAGCGATAAGGAGGAGTGATAACGCAGCGACGGCTCCACCGCCGCGTTTTCCCGCCATTGTCCACTAAGCAGTTGAGATTTAACACATAGGCGGCGCCACACGTGTTCATGCTTTAATAATGAAGTTACATAGAGTGCAGCCCTTTTTCTTTGACGATATCTAGTAGATTTTGACCTATTTAAAAATATAATTAAATGTCAGAAATCTGAATTAAAAACAACAAAATAGTCTTTCTGAATTGTTAACTTGTCTATAACATATTGTATTATAATCATTAGCTTGACAAATATTTCTATTATAAAAACAATATAATATATATAATGTATTTACCTATAGTACACTATGGTTGGTACACATAAAATAACACATTGGACAAAGTTACTTATTTGATAGTATTACCTACATATATATGTAAAAGAAATTAGACACAAACAAAACTTACCAATGTACAAATGCAACAAATGCACCTAAACTTAATATATTTAACAAGTACAAATAGCTGCACTTTTTCTCCAAATATTATTTGCATTATTTGATGGTAACTATATATACATATCTAATATATAAAAGAAAAAGTACTGTCCTTACTAATAATACCAATAATTTTTACTTAAAATAGGCTTTGGGTATAAACGATTATATCATAAATTCATATTTTTCTTAATTTTTATATATGATGAATGTGCAATTTTTATAATTATACCTATTCTATAAAAATACTATGTGTGCTGTGTTGATATTATGATCATGACATTTTTACATGGTTCCACAAGATCAGTAAAGAAAAAACATAGGATTCATAGAAAATAAGTAATTTTATTAAGACCTATTTTAAATTCACTAGGCACATGTTTAGATATAAAAAAATAATTGTAAAGCCATGTAATATAGGTACAAGTACAATAAGTACATAAATTGTTCTTTAACTCTAATAATTGTATTAATAAAGTATTGTAATAGTACAGAAATATTTATAACACACACAATAATTTTGCTATCAAGGAATTATTAAATTTAATCATGCATGTAAATAAGTAATAGGAACTTAGTCATAACTAATATCTAAAACTATTAAATAATTGAAAGGTACTTACATTTTAACAGTTCAAAAATTAAAATTTGACACACCGAAATGAAACAAAAACACGTGTTTTGTTTTTACACTTTAACAGTTTAAACTTTATAATATGCAATAATGCAATATGCATCAACACATACAACAAAGAAAAAGCGCGAACGAGTGAATGAATCAAGTGCAATGTTAACTAATTTAGTATCATTATTCAGTATCATATCATATTATCAGTATATTATTTAGTATCATTATTATTAATCATCGAAACTACACAAAAATAAAACAATAATAATATAATAACAATATAAATTTTAAACCGCGCATTTTATAAATAGATCACTATATTTATTAACCGATAAGGTGTACAGTGCAATCAATGTTTTCTTACACTGTGACGAAACACTGTGTATGAACGGTTCGGTCACAGTTAGTTTATTACAACGATATGTACACGGTTCACTGTCCATAAAACCGACATTAAACCGAACTAAAATAATTAGTTTACGAGTCGTATATCAAAACCTTCTCTGAACCGTCTGGGTTTTTCATGAATGTTAATCAACATTGTTAGCACTGGTATTAGAACACAGTTTTAAATAACCGACGTTAAACACAAGAATTGCTACTCGGGACGTTTATCACGGCCGCCACAAATTATAGATATTCCCGGCGGCCGGGATCGAAACCACGACCCTCGAGTCAAATGTCCTAACGCCTAACCTACATAGCCACCTACTGAGATGGAAATCTAAGTCAAATCTATGACTCTTAAGGGCGTTTGACTACCATGTCCACCGCCTTCGAACGTTCAAAACGCTAGATTTGAGATAAAATCGAACCTACACGGTACCTACTCTCGTTTCTGACACACTACTCCACCCCGGGACTCGTCTGTGGCTATAAATATAGCAGGGAACGCGAATAAGTAGTCGACGGGGAGGGTGATACGACCGAAAGGGGCTAAAACTCTAATTTTCGAAAAAAACGGCAAAAAGAGCAGTCATATAGTCGTACTATTTAACTGCCAGAGTTTAATCAGTTCTATTAGATCTATTAGTTTATTAATACCGTATTAAACAGTATTTAACCTAAAAACTGTAATATATCAAGTAGGTAGGTACTATATGTAGGTTAGTTATATTATATTGTATTTATAAAAGAAACATATAGGTGCGTTGGTCACGGTAAAATCAAGTATTATTATTATTATTTATAAAATAGTATAGTATCATTATACAATTTAGTTACAATTTAAAAGATCTATTTTAATATATATTAATATTTTTTTGCCAAAAAAAAATAAATGTTACGAAAAAAAAACACAAAAAAAAAATTCGATTTATCACGGCCGCCACAAATTATCGAAAATCCTGGGCGACGGTTTAGAACCCACGACCCTCGGGTCACCTATCATAACGCCTAACCAACCTAGCCACCTACTCAGATGAAACCCGAGTCAATTCTATGACGCTTAAGCCGCGTCGCCGTGCTCGCGAAAGGCGAACGCCGTTTGGACGGCCGTCAAAGGGCGTTTGAGCGGGCGATCCGACAGCGTCGGCGAGCGGACGACCGGCTCCGCCGCCCTAAGACGTATAATCCGCGAGCTTGGCGAAAAAAATCGAACCTCAAGACCCACGTATTTATGTCCGTATATAGCGGTACCGACTCGATACCCAATCGGTACCTATACTGAGTCAAATCTATGACTCTTAAGCCACGTCGCCGTGCACGCGAAAGGCGAACTCCGTTTGGACGGCCGTCAAAAGGCGTTTGAGGGGGCGATCCGACCTCCGGATCCGCCGCCCTCTGACGTATAAAACGCGAGATTTGCGAAAAAAAATCGAACCTCGAGACGCATGTATTTATGCCCGTAAATAGCGATACGTAATCGGTACCTACTCTCGTTTCCGCGACGCCACTCCTCCCCGAGGCTCGTTTTTGAAAAAGTAGGGCCGAGCGCTGGCTATAAATACTCGAATACGTCGCCGACGGGCAGGTCGGACGTCTCGTAGAGGTGCTAAACGCGACTCTAGTCGAAAAAGTCGGAAAAACCGTCGAAATCGCGACGACGCCGCGCTCTCTGCGATCGACTGGTCCGCCGGGGGACTGGATTATAAAAAAGAATTGCCACGCGCCGATTACAAATTTAGCGGGGAACGCGAATAAGATCCACACGGGGAGGTCGATACGCCCTAAAACGCAAAAAACGCGCGCGACGTCCGTCGCCGCGGGCCCGCCGGGCCAAAAGTAGGGCCGCGAGCCGACTATAAATTTACCGAGGAAAACGAATAAGGTCCGAACGGGGCCGACCGAAACCCCCGGGTGGGGTTAAACTCGAAAACTTTGAAAAATAATCGTGTAAATAGGTCGAAACGGCGAAAAGCGATAAGGAGGAGTGATAACGCGATTTCCCTCCATTTTCGTCTATAGCGGTTCGGAATTAATCCATAGGCGGCGCCACACGGGTTTTCGTTTTATATAGTAAGACTAGCTCTCCGAGCGTCGCTGGGGGACACCCCCAGACCCCCGAGAGTTGGTCACGAGTGTTTTCGATTTCGGAAGGAGCAGTGGTCTCGAGGTGCGGTAATGGGTCTCGGCCGACACGGTGTACGCATAGATAATAAATACATGGATAGGACGCCTCAAATTCATTACGTATTAGTTTTGCGGTCCAACATAGATAAGAAATTGAGGCGATTTGTTTACATTTTTTAACGTGATAACAACTGTTTTCAAAATGATTAAAGTGTATTTTTAGAAACACTGGTTTTAGTTTTTTTTTACTACTTAATACCTAGTTTTGTATAATTTGTGCTTTTACAACATTGGAACTAGGTAGTTTAAAAAAATGGTTTTATCGTGTTGTGTGTGCCATAAAAGCGCCAATAAAAATCCGAATTTCACATTTCATAAGCAAGTATATTATATATTTTGTTTGTTTTTCATTTAAACTAGTTTGTTAATAATTAAATTTTCTCGTTATTATTGTAGATTTCCTAAAGATCCAATTCAACTGGATAATTGGAAATAAATTTTGCAATTAGAAAACATTGCTAATTGGCATAGAGTTTGTTCTGATCATTTTGATCCCAATAGTTTAAAACGAATAAAGAAGTACACTACCCTTAACAAAAATGCAGGTCCAGTTCTGTTAAGGAAGTATTATACTTTATTGTTATTCCTTATTTTATAAATATTAATTATACAAGATAATTTTTGTTTCATTATTTAGGAAGTTGGTTCGTGATGATTGTCCATCAAATTTAAATGTCCAGGTCACTCCAACATTATGCCCTAGGCGAATGTTATTCAAAAATGTTGAATATGATGATATTCCCTGCTCGTCTATAAATACTGTAGACATAGTAGACACTACTACACCAAATGATATATCAGAGTTACTTGATATATCAACAAATATTAAAGTCACTCCAACATTTGTAAATTGGTAATATAACTTAATATCTTCTTTCAAATATTAAATTTTAAATTTCATATTAATATGTATTATTATTGTTTATAGTAATGCTATGTTGCCATGTTGGATACGGGTTCAAAAAAGATCAGCATTTTAAGACATGGGAGGTACATTGGTGATTTGAGTCCCAGTAAATTTTCCACCCCTAAAAGAACCAGAGCTAATATTAATCTAATAAAAAAAGATGTAAAAATACTAAGAAAAAAAAATAAAATATTAAAACAAATAAATTCCAGACTAGAAAAGAGAGTTTGTACATTAGAAAATATTGTAAATGATCTAGAAAAAAAAATGTTAGTGTCTGAAAATGCAGTTAAACATTTAAAAGTAAGCAATTGTAGGTATTGTGTATTAAATGTTGTATATTTGTCTAACAACCTAGGTATACTGAGTGAGGCTTTTATCATGAATCACTCATTATTTAAAAAAACTATATACATTTTTGAAAGTACTTTTAACATACATAATGTCCAGTTGTTACAAAACAACATTTTTTTATTTTTGTATATCATAAAAGGATCTCTGTTTATACACAGTATATTATACATAAATAATCAAAAAAGGGTCCTATCCATAGATTACTTATATAATTTTCATTTATTAGTTTTGTAAAATATAAGATTATTTAGGGCACAACGTAGGGTTTTCTTGATATTATTATTTTTAAGTAAGTTATGAACAGGGTTCGGAACTTTATGCATTTGCATCTTTCTCGGGAAGCTGCATATTTCAAATCTGATTCGATAATCGATACAAATTCGTTTCATGGACCATACAATTGAAATACAAAAATTAATGTTGCATTTTTTGCATATTTTACTAAATGTATATGATTTGGCATATTTAAATATTTTGAGTATATAAATGCATTTCATGTTAAAAACGTATAAGAAATCAACAATAAGCAAGTGTTAAATAATTGAATATTGTAAATTAAATGATTAACACATAAATGTTGAAGTACCTAGTGCTAATCAAATCATGTCTATTTATTTTCAGGTATTAAATTCTGTCGTCTTGGAAAATATTGTTAGTGGTGATTTGAAAAAAAAATAAGAAATTTAATCCTGAAATAAAACAATTTGCATTAACCCTACAATATTATTCATCAAAAGCTTACATGTATGTAAGAAAAAAGTTTTCGAATGTCTTGCCCCATCCAAGAACACTTAGGCGATGGTATATGGTCATAGATGGGTTACGAGGTTGGACAAATGAAACATTTAATGCATTAAAAGAAAAAAACCAACAAGGTTTAGTTTGTGTGAATTTAGTTATAGATGAAATGTGTATATTGACATGTTGAAATGGACAATAAAAGACAAATATTTGGATTTGTTGACATGGGAATAGATGGTTTATATGACCATGATGATCCTCCAGAAGCTAAAAATGCACTTGTGTTTATAGTAGTAGCATTAAATGGATATTGGAAGTTACCCATAGGATATTTTTTAATCGACTCACTTAATGGGAAAGAAAGAGCAAATTTATTAGAAACAGCAATGTCATTATTAACTGAAATTAAAATAAAAATATATTCCATTACATTTGATGGAGCCCATGTTAACACTGCTATGTGCACTCATTTAGGAGCTAAGTTTACATTAAATAATCCAAAAACATTTATAGAGTATAAGGATACAGAAGGCAAAGAACAACAAATGTTTATTTTTTATGACCCTGCACACATGCTAAAATTAATTAGGAACACATTTCAAAACAAAAAAGTTATTAAGAATAAAAATGGTCAGCTTATTAAATGGGAGTATTTAGTAAAATTAGTAGATGTACAAACAAATCAAAAATTACATGCTGTTAACAAATTAACATATAGACATATACATTTTTTTAATGAGAAAATGAATGTTCGTCTCGCAGCTCAGACTCTAAGCCAGAGTGTTTGTGATTCATTAAAATTCATGTCGACAGTTGATAGTTCATTTGAAGATTCTTCAGCTACATCTGAATTTTGTGCAATGATAAACAATGCTTTTGATATAACAAACAGTCGGTCTAAATTTTCTAAAAAACCCTTTAACAAGGCAATATCTGAAGAAACATTTGAAAAATATGAAGAATTCATGAAAGAATTTAAAATCTACATTAAAGGTTTATCATTTTTAGATGGAACTATGGTTGTAAATTCTCAACGAAAAACAGGGTTTTTAGGACTTTTGTTTTCCCTATAAAACTGTTTGAACCTATACAAACTTTTGACTAAAAACTATCCTATGAAATTTTTATTAACATATAAAATATCACAGCACCATATAGAGACAATGTTTAGTGCGATACGGAGCAGGGGAGGGTATAATGATAATCCAACCTGCAGGCAATTTTAGCAGCATTTAAAAGAGTTTTAGTAAATAATGAGATATCAGGGTCACTGTATGGAAATTGCATAGCACTCGACAATACAACACATTTAACAGGGAAAAAATTTGACGATATACAATGCAAAGAACCACTTACTTTTTCATTTTCATGGTGTACTACCAGATCAGTGATTGATCATGATTATTTTGACAACTACATACATTTAAGTAAATTTGTTGATTGTGTATCAAGTTATATTTCTGGATTTGTAGCAAAAAAAGTGGCTATAAAAAACTGATTGTGAAAATTGCAAATCATCTCTCACTACAACACATACTGATATTTTAACTCAAATTAAAAATCGTGGTTACCTAACTAAAGCAAGCAATGATGTTGTATTAATATGTAATGCGACTGAAAAGATGTTAAGGCAGTACCCAAACCAGATATACAAAAGGAATTCACAACAATTTTATATAGCCAAAGTTAAGTCACAACTGTATAAAAGCTGTAAAATATTTACCAACTTAGACTGTGGAAATGATGCATGGTTTGAAAACGACCATAAAAACAATCTGGTGAACAAAATTATTCTTAAATATTTGGATATAAGAATGTACCATAAATTCAATCTAAGAAATATTGATCATATAAAAACCCGTTCAAAGTTGACTAAACAAATACACTTCAACCATGATTAATAAGATACTTATAGGCTTTGATTGTAAATATTTAACTATTTTTAAAAGTAAAAAGAACATTATTACATTATTATTTGTACTTTGCGTGTAATTAATATTTTCATTATTATACTTACTATTAATCTAAAATTTAACAATAATAAAAACTTAAATTCAAATGTGATTGACGATTATTTATTTTAACTATAATCAAAAATCATAATGTAAACAAGCAACCTCAATTTTTTGTCACCAAATACTTCACTGATAAGGCGTTATGTCCTATCCATGTATTTATTATCTATAGGTGTACGGGTGATATGGAGGTCTTGTGATAAGGATATGTGATAAAAAAAATATATATATATGATAAGGATAGTGGATAAGTGATAAAAAGTTATGATAAGGTTATCGGATTTATGATAAGGACGGTTGATAAGTGATAAGGATAATTGATTTGTGATAACACATAGTGATAAGGCTATCGGATGTATGATAAAGATTGTGGATTAGAGATAAGGATGGTGGATCAGTGATAAGGATAGTGGATTTGTGATACAAAATATTGATAAGGATAATGGATTTGTGATAAAAAAGTGATAAGGAAAGATTATTTGTGATAAGGATAGTGATAAGGATTGTGGATTCGAGATAAGGATAGTGGATTTGTGATTAGGATAGTGGATTAGTTTACCAGTGGATTAGTTAACCGGATAGTTGTCAAAGTTTTTTACTTTTGCGATTTGTTTGGGATCTAGCGGTCAGTCACGTTCCTCGACGTTGGTCGTAGTCACCCTGGTAGGCAATCCGACAATATTCGACAGCTGGGCCACATCGTTTTTTACTTATGTTTAGTCACGTAAAAAAATTCAAATATCACATAGCCGCCGCGATTTGTTTGGGGTCTAGCGGTCAGTTACGTTCCTCGACTTTGGTCGTAGTCACCCTGGAAGGCAATCCGACAATATTCGACGGCTGGGGCAAAAATTCAAAATAATTTCGTCGTCTATCCAAATCATACTGCCACCGTCTTTTTATTTGGTGTCTAGCAGGTCACCCATCTATGTTATCCGGGTAGTGACGGCGGGTTCAAGGCATCGGGGATATAAAATAAGTTTTAGGGTCTAGTAGGTCAGTCACCTTCCTCGACGAAGTCGGATTGCGTACAATATGCGACGGCTGGGGCATGTCATCACGTATGCGATTCGACGCAGTTCATTCGGACGAAGTTTTTTAAAAACGCAAAATTTAGTAATAAATTGCGTGAAAAAATATTCAAAACATTTCGGGCATCCATGCAAATCATATAGCCACCGTCTTTTTATTTGGTGTCTAGCAGGTCACCCATCTATGTTATCCGGGTAGGCAATCCGACTCGATGTTGGACGTAGTCACTCGGGTAGACGACGTGACGACGTGTTACGGCCTACTCACGACCAACAGGTATGCAATCATTACTGACAGCGTTCATTACTGTTACTGAAAACGCAAAAGTAAAGATTAAATTACGGGAAAATAAATTCAAACAGGTTAGTCACCTTCCTTGACGTTGGAGGTAGTCACAATGTGTGACGTCCGTATAGCAGACAATGTTTTTTAGTGTCGTCGAAAACGCCAAATTACGTAATAAATAACTCGAAAAAAATAATAACATTTCGGGTGCCTGTGCTAATCGTAATATAGCCGCCGTGATCAGCTGTTGAGTGTCTAGCAAGTCAGTCACCTCGATTGATGATAACACGCATAAGCAATCCGACTAAACGTCAGATCCACTACTCCGAAGCCGGGTCGTAAATGAAAATAGTATTTTTACCGTGCCAAAAAATGTAAGTTCACTGTGGTGTTCACGACTAACTCACCCGTTAAATCATCTATATTCTTACTTTATATAATAAAATATATTATTTATTACTATACTATATCCATTGAGTACACAATGCAAGCGACATGCATACTTACGTGCATCTACATAAGACATAATTCATAACGCATCATTATAAAATATATGCCTATTCTAAAACCCGTTTGTCTGATGGATATGCACTTAATATCACTGATAAGGCCCGTAATCACTAACGAATAAACGAAGGTGTTCTGAAATAATAGCATACTGTATTTCCATCAAGAATTTCAGCGTTGCATTGCCAAAGGCGCAACAATATAGAAGAGAAACTCGATCAGCTGGTCGGGGTTTTGTTTCCCTGTGAACCTCCGAAAAACATGGAAACGCTTCCGCGCACCAACATGGTGTTAGACCCGAGGTCTCCCGTATTATGTGAACGTTTGATAAAAGTCGCGCCTGCGGTAATGGTATAGCGATAGCGGGCGGACCGACGATACACGGTCGGTGATAAGGCTTTGGCGGTATGTTTGAAAACCATGTTTGCGCGTGTATCAATAAATTCGAGTGATGGTCCTATGGCATTATTATGACCATATGAAAAAAGTTTGCGAAAATGAAATAAGAACGATGGCCTAAAGTGTAAGGTTTAAAGCCGTGTTCGAATGAATAATACGAATATAAAATATCGATATAATAATAATATGTGTATACAATAAATTAATTAATCAGCCGTGCGATATCGTTACCCGCATGGGTTACCTTCCTTGACTCTTATTGTTATTGTCGCCGTTCTAAGACAAAGGACTGCGCCGACGTCCGACTAACCGTTCTCAAACGTCCAACTGTACAACTGCGGACTGGTTGTGGTCGACTGTTGTGACTAATTGCGTCACACTATCGCGGTCACGCCGCGCGCTTGGAACCGCGTTAGATTTGACGCACGGTTGGTTACTATCACACTACACGGTAAAACGCGGTAAAACGTGATCATTTGCACATTTTTTGGTCATCAGAATAGATGTGTTGTGGTTAGTATAGCTGAATATATGATTTGCTGATCAGTGTTCAACATTCGTTTTAATATTTAAAAAATACAAGTAACTTAAACACTTAATTTTAAAACGTTAATTTAATATCGATTTTCCTAAAAAAGGTTCTCAAGTAAGTATTTGAATTACTTTAATTAATATCGAAATATAATATGTGGAAAATCATTTTAATATATGAATAGTTAATTTTAAATATATTTCTAATGTCTATAATTATTTACTCAGCCCTAACTAACCCTTATTAATCTTTAAAAATTAAATAAACTATATTAAATTTTATATTTGCGTGTGTTTAGGATGGATTATAACTATTACATGAATGCTTTGAAAGTTATAGCAGTGGCAGAATCGTTTGGATATTTAAATCCTCCTAGGAGAGATAGAGAATTTTGGATTCATCCTTTTAATAAAAGTAGAGAGGAAAAAGCACGCTTCATTAATTTTTATGCAGACAATACCCACTCAAATTTTTTGAGTACTATAGAATGTCGATAACTTCATTCGATGAACTTTTGGAACAGGTGCGTCCATATATTACGAAAAAAGTTACAACATTCCGATATCCAGTTTCAGAGGAGGAAAGACTGACTCTTACAATAAGGTAAAGGTAAAATAAAATATAAAAATAAAAATAATAAAATTGAAGGTATGAATTATTACTATACATTTTAAAATTGTATGATTATATAAGGTTAAAAAATGAATAGTTTATTGTATAATTAAAAATGAAGATAAAATTAAAGATTTTACCTACATTAAATATTAAAAATATTCGTATGAATTATTATTATACATTTTAACATTTTAGAAACGTAATAATAAAAAACGAATAATTTATAGTATAATTAAAAATAAAAAAAAAAATAAAAGATTATACCTAAATTAAAAAATAAAAATATTCCTATGAATAATTATTAGTATACTAAATTAACGTGAATTTTCCCTGAATGATGAGTTAGATGTTTGTGGAATATCAATATCAATTTGATTATTCGGAATAAATTGTTGATGATATGTATTGGAAGGAGACTGATAAGTTGGGGGAAGTGAAGAATTATGTATTTGTGCCATTTGAGGAAGACCTGCAGTTTGAAAGTTCGGGAGAGAGTTTTGGTTGTGAAAAGAATTTTGAAAATTAGACATATAATCATTTTGATGAAGGGCGCGAGATTCCACCACTGGAAGCTGAGGGGGATTCAAAATCCGTTTAACTAGTTGCGAAAATTCAATTTTAAAATCTAATTTTTGATTTTCATCCATTTTTTTAAACTCAGGTAGAAATGAAAGAAGAAACTCTTTATCAGGGTCATTTTCTTCAGGCTTTTGTAGAATTGGAGGGTTTTTCATCAAATTAAGTAGATTTGACTGGAAGCTTGTTATTCTTGTTTCTTTTTTATTTCTCTCCTGTGTTTGATTATCTTTATGACCTGCAGTATCATCTTTTTGAACTGGACAATCTTCTTCAAAACTTTCATCAACTATAATTGATGCGGCCATGGAACACATCGAAACACCATCATTTTCAACATTTCCAGTAGTTCTAAAATAAAACATTATATTATTAATAAATAATAACTATTATAACGCTATCTATTGTATAATGATTATTATAGAAAAATATGTATGTTATGCTACACACAATTATTTACTATTTGTCAGAGGGTCAACTTTATGTTGGTGTATTTTTGAATACACCTACATAATTTTAAGGAAAACGAGTTGGATATTTACTCGTAAATTAACGAATTTTCGTGGAAAATGTATGTAGGTATAGGCCTTAAAAAAAGTTTAAATTTATTTTTTGTAAGATTAAAATTCGTACCTATTGTAAATAAACATGTAGTTTTATACAACTATTATTTGATATAAACTTAAAATGTATAAACTACCTATATACAATATAAATACATACTTCCTTTTCTTGACGACGGGCTGCAGGAAAGGTAGTATATCAAAGTATGCATACTTTTTTGTGTTTATGGCTTCCGAACCACTTGCAGTTTTTCTAGTTTCATTAACTACTCTTGCGTAGTTATCTCTACAATGTTTCCATTTTTCTTCAATTCTTCAACTAATACAAATTATTATTAGTATATATTATTTAAATTTTAAAATCAAACATGATGTGACTGTGTGCGCATAACTATTTTATGAAAACTATTTTAGCGTTGCGATGACTGTACAATGATGTGTTTTTTTATATCTGTATACACGATAATGGTATAAAAAATATTTAAAAATATAATTTTGTAATAATAACGTTGTTCTATAAATGACTTGAAGCTATGTAAAACATTTACACTTTTTCAAATAATGAGTGTTTTATGATAAAAGAATCACCCTATATAATAATATGCTTGAGAAGTTTCATGTACCCACGAATAATATTTTTAAATTACAACATTACAAATAAAATCGTTATCTTAATTATTAAAAAATTCAAATTTCGACAACATTTTTAAGATCGAAAATTGAATGATTGTTTTTAGTTAACAATTTATAAAATGTACAATTTTATAGCTAAGGATTTATTATATTTATAAAAAAAATGTGAAATTAAAAATATAATTTTGCCGTTAAAAATCAAACTATGCTAATAAATAACATAATTCAATTTCTTGTGAAATTAATTATTTATATAATAATTAACATAAAAAAAAAATTATTATTTTAAACAAAAAACATATACTTATTTTTATAAATTGAAAAATTGAAAATAAACATATACATTTTAGATATTTATCAACTGGATCAAATTTTGTGGCGTTGCAATACGAGTTCTTATTGGGACGAAGTACAATTGGAACAATCGTCCAAGAAACATGCAAAGTTATATGGACCGCCTTACAGCCTAAAGAGATGCCAGAACTAACTAGCCAAGAGCAATGGATAGATATTGCAAATAAGTTTTACAAAAAGACTAACTTTCCAAATTGTATTGGAGCAGTAGATGGGAAACACATCAGATGTATAAATCCAAGAAATGAGGGTCTATGTTTTTTAATTATAAAAAATATTTCTCTATTATTTTAATGGGCGTAGTAGATGCAGAATATTGTTTTACGACCATCGACGTCGGTGCTTATGGTAGAGAGGGTGATTCTACCGTTTTTAAAGAATGCCCGTTTGGTAGAAAACTGTATTCCGAAGAACTAAATCTTCCCGAACCGGTGTGCCTACCTAATACCACAGATTCCCCGCAACCCTTCGTTATAGTAGCAGATGAAGCATTTGGCCTACATAAAAATTTATTGAGACCGTACCCAGGACGTGGACTCAATGATAAAAGAAAAATTTTCAACTATAGGTTGTCGAGGGCCAGGCGATATGTGGAATGTGCTTTTGGCATTCTAGCGAATAAATGGAGAGTTTTACACACCCCAATATTAGTCGAACCAGATTTTACTGACTGTATCGTGAAAGCATGCTGTATTTTACATAACTATGTACGAAGGAGAGACGGATATCAATTTGAAGATACATTTTTTAATAATTTGGACGATATTCAAAACCATGGAAATTCCGGAGCTCGTCACGAAGGGATTGGTGTACGAGAATATTTCGCAGATTATTTTGTAAACGCTGGGTCAGTTCCATTTCAAAATCGTTTTACTTGATTATTATTTTATATTACTACCTATATAATATTTTATATATATTATTTTAATAAATAATATATTATCTATATAATTGTATTGTAAGTATTTAAACCTATTTAAGTATTAATCTACACTTGCAAGTTACAACAGAATAATACCTAATAACAGGTAGAATCATTTTTTTTTAAATTTATACCTATAAAATATAATATCCTTATAATAAAGATGTAATTAAACTATAATTTTATTTTACGTATACATTAGTATAGGTAGGTAATGTAGTTTCTTAAACAATTTTCATTTATTTTATTATTTAATATAAATAAATAACCTAATATTAAAAAATCAAGTTAGTATTTAACATTTTTTTTTTATAATATGTACCTATATTAGCTACAAATTATGTTGTAGCAAAAACGTTTTCATAAACTTTAAGTTTGTAATAAAAAAGTTTAAAGTTAAACTCACCTTTTAATTCTTGTTCTTCCTTGTTGAAGCTTTCCCACTCATCAAACATACTTGATGCTAC